ATGGCCATTTCAAGTTTTGCCTTGTAAAGATGTAGTGCACTCTCAGAGGAAATACAAAACTCTTCTCTTTTGGTTAAATAAACGGCAATTAAGTCCCAAAAATGTAGGTTGGTTGGTTCTTCTAGCACCTATTTGCACATTTTTAACAACAAAGTCATCTTAAAAAATATTTAAAAGTAATCAGATCTTTGCCTTAATTCTTGCTGTGGAATATAGAAGTAGATAATGATGGGAGCGAACAGGTTGAGACGTTGCTGATGCATATGAATGCTTAAGTCTTACAAAAGAGAATCAGCATTTGACAGCATTTCATGTGCTGAAGTCGGTGCATTTGAAGAGTTTCAGAATCGCGTTTTACCTACACAGACACATGTACACTTTGATCTTTTTTTGAATAATTTTCTGGGACTTTGTAGCCAAATGCCTTTAGGAATATGTATCTACACACATTGAAAACAAACAACACTCACTTTATAGCTGCACAAAACAAACACGAAAAGCCTTAGCTGCACAAGGGTATGTAAGCACCCAAGCTTAAAACATTTTCCGCTCTTTCAACACAACTGAAAAGCAAATTAAAATGGACAAATAACTCGCAAGAAACTGCTGCCTGAAATACATGGATTTTCCTGTCACGGCCTCATAAAGCTGAAATTATCCAGCATGCAAAAAGCACTGTTAATTTTTACCATAAAGAAATCAAAAGCATTATAACCATGCTAGAAACTATGAGTATTTAACAATGGATGCACGAACAGCTAGATCTGTATTCTGAAAGTTGAGCATCATGCTAGGGATGTTTTTTCCTACAAAGAAAAAGCACGTCCAACACATGCTACTTAGGAGAAGCATTTGGCTCAAAAAACACAGAGCAAAGCCAAGAAATAACCAAACTGAATGTTTCTGCACTACAGGTATTGCCCTCTCAACCCACTAATATTCATGCCTCTTCCCATCTCTCTCAGCACTGGTTAGTTCACCTTCAGCATGCATAAGAGTTGATGAGGAACTGTCCCTCCTACTCTACCTAATTTTGCTCAGCTGATTCCTTGCCCTGGACAATGGCTGCAGTGCGATGAACTCGTCACTTAAAGCAACTCTGTTGGAGTACATCTACAATTGGACAGAGAAGGGATGGAACATACATGTCAGTAAGTAGCAGCAGTAATTTTCTAAGAGAAAGACACAGGACAACACATTGTTATTTAAGTGGAATACACATCATATACAGAACACAAGCCTGGTACCTTCAAGACAGCTCCTGGGATAATCACAGCCAGTTACTGTTTGGTAGGACCAATCTTAATGTACTTGTGCTTTCAATACTGAGAAAAAAGGCCTATACACTTCTACATCTGTGCTTTATTCTGCATTACTTTCTTCCCTCAATAGTGCTGTGATTTATATTTACCCAAAGATTTATATTTTGATTCACATTTACCTTGCTGTCCACTTCCTCCTATATGATTCTGTAACAGACCTACAGTGAGAAATTGCCCATAAGCTACTTTAGGGCAACTGACCTCAGACAAACACAAGATGGCTTTTCTTTAGGTCAGCAAAAGCCCCTTGGAACACAGCAAAAATAAAATAAAGTAACACATTCACCTTAAGTGCATTAGGGAAGGTAAAGTTAACAAAATTCATCCCTCTATAATAAGCATATTAAAAATTTGATAGGCAAGTATGAGTTTATTTCCCAAAATGAAAGGGTGAGATATAAGTTGCTGTGACAGAACAACATCTACATTTAAAAGTTTATCAGGTGTTTCTCATATCAGTTACATTTCTTCGCTTTGTTATTAATAACTTTGCTACATGTAACATCTGACTGATCAGACAGACTGAATGTTGATGCTATGACCTTATACTAACAAAAAGATAAAATCAGGTTCCTTATATATTAAGTAGGGTAAGGCAGGTGCCTACAGATACAGTGAATTCAGAGCAGTAACTCAGCTAAGATGCACAACTAACATGTTCTTGGAATCTGAAAAATTAAAACAATAGAGGCAAGTGTTTCATTTTCAGCTGAGGAACCTGTGTTTGCAGAGTGCTCCTGGGAAGAGTTTAGAATTTAAATGATGGCAGTCAGAAACAAATAACTGAAATAGCTGCAATTTAAAACCAAGTGACTAGTTCAATAACAATTTATCTCACCATGATAAAAATGTAGTAACTGTAAACTTTTTCTTTCCCCCGATATGAAAATATACTAATTTAGTCCTGCAATTTAAAATAATTAAAAATATTCAGCTAGACACAGGATGCATCTTCACTATGAAAAACAGCATTTAAGAAAGCAATATAAAAGTTTCATATTTACTCTTTTAATGACTCTTTTAGTTGCTCGTTGATGACTTCCACAGAAGTCATCAGCATTAGTCAGCACCCCTTGCATTTGGGACAAAGACATTCTCCAAACTCTTTCTGTCTCAAAGTTAGAGTCTCTTCCTCTGCTTTGAAACTGAAATAAAAATATTTACTAGAAATTTTAAACACATATAATGAAGAAGCACAAATGTTGTCAAGAAGGGAAAGAATGCTAAGTTGATCATCTGCTCCTCTTCACTTATTTGTACTTTCTCACTTCAAGAATAGAAAATGAAATTCAATGGAGCTGATTGTCACATTAAAAGTCAGAGTGGGAAAATCTCAAAAGATTAAACCTTGAGAAGGGAACAAAGAGGTGTTTTCTTGTCATAAATACATTTTTAGCTATGATTTCACTATCAGACACACACAGAGAAACTAGTGGATGGCTGCTGAAGAATTTCTGGTCAAATCAGATTGCAGCATCAGGAGTTAAGAGTTTTCAGAAAAAAAGACAGTATTTTGGTAAACATACACCCTACTGCTGACTCTGTCAAATGCAATGTAGAAAGGGAGTAAGAAAAAAACCAAACAAAGAAACCCCCAACCAACCAAACCTAATGGAGATGCACAAAGCAAAATCCCCATGGCTAGGAATCAAGATATAGCCACAGGAAAGATGTTAGACATTCATCAAGATTCCTTTTTAAAAATAAGAAGTCCTACTGTGTCCTTGACAACACAACTGCAGTGGAAGTAAACTGAACCTAGAAATTCTTTAGAATTGATTCAGAAGGCGAAAGAATGCAGCAAGAAGTATAGGGATAAAGGCAGGGAAAAATCGTGGCTTTTTGGGTTTTAACTCAAGCACTTCAGGAACATGAGAAACCTCAACAACCACACCGATACAAAGCCAAACAGCAACAGCTGATGCACAGGAAGGAAGGAAAAGGAAGTGTTTGATAAATATTGCCACTAGTTTTTCAAGAAGAAAAGACAGGTAAGTATCATTGCCTATTGCATTTTTCCTAAATCAAGACCCTTTAATCCAAGAAGTGCAATAGTGTGCAATCCAGAGTCTTATCAAGCCTAACTCAAAAGTCTTCTGAAAGCTAGTGGTTACTTACCTTGACTTTTAGCCACTAAATTCCGAGACAGAAAAAAGCAGCTAATATTCCAGTTTTGGAAAGGGAATAATGGGATATTTTCGACAGCAATAGGCTTGTCAGGATAATGTTGATCTGAGGCAAAGTAAGAGAATGTCTCACATGGTTTTTTTTAAACAGACAAATTAGAAGTGTAATATAATTTAAGTAAATCAACATGCACTTACATCAAAGTAATTACAAGGTTAGATGCTAAAGATAACAGCACTGATGTAATGCAGTCGGGCTTCTGCATGGCACAGAGCTCACAGTAATTTGGATTAAGCAACTAGGACACCACAAAATCATTCTGGCACACAGATGGACTAAAAGCTGCTGAGAGGTTTCAGACCATAGCTGTGTATGGAATATCTTTGTCAACTGGGTTCTTCATTCACTGTCACTGTTTTTTGGCCCTGTGCTGTTTGACCTCTCATCAACGACCTGAAAGAAACCAACAGCAGCACTTGCAGATGAGTAGAAGATGCAGAAGACAACAGGTTATTGATGTATATTATTCTGTAAACTGAATACAGCTGGGGGATTCATTATTTCCATACTTGGCACTGATGTCTGCTGGAATATGCTGTCCACTGGCGAAATCCAAAAATCAAGATGAGGTTGAGAATGTTGAAGATTACAAGAGAAACACAAGAATCATGAAAAGACTGTAAAACAACCTTTTTGACAAAAGATGCAGGTCCAGTCTACCTATTAGTGTGAAAATGAACAAACCTAACTGATCACAAACTAATGTTGATCACAAACCTAACTGTGAATAAACAAAACACTGGAACAGAAGGCTTCTCAGTTTAGCAGAAAAAGTCTAAAAAGATGAGATGCTGGAAACTGAAACCAGAGAGAGAGTCACTATGAGGACAATGGGTCAGGATGACTTCTCCCTAACTGTCACTAAAAAGAAGACAACACTCAGAGATGAGATATTTACCTAAAAGACAGCCTAATTTCAACAGAATGATTTAAAGGATTCTTTGTAGCCCGTGTCAGGCAAAAGAGAGATTCTATTATCACAGCACATCTCTAGACCTCGTCTATGAACCTGTGGAACTGCCACATGGGTAATTAGCTTTAATTACAGGATCAACAATCAAATATATAGCATATAATAGGATCGAGATTTAAGAAATACTAATTAAAAAAATCCTACTAAAGTAATTTTTAAAATTGTTTCCATCACATTTTAAGAACTATTCCATACTAATTACAGTTGCAGCTTCTAATACCTAGACAAAAATGAGAATAAGTTACCATCTTTAACACAGGACAAATATGTGCAACATGATCCTCTCATACAGTTGCAAGTTGAGATGTAAAAGACTGAGTGACCTCTTCATATATAATTCTGTTCTTATTATCAAATATTTAAACATAACCATTACTGCCTTGTAAAATGGTGTCCTCACTTTTGTAATTTTAAATTAACAACTGTATTCTGAAATGAGAACACTTCTATGCATTAAACACGACAGCAGTGTAAGAGGATAACTATTGGTCAAGTTGGATACAAAAGCATAGTATTACCTGAGCTTTTTCAGTACTTGTTGGTTGCAGATGTCTGTACAGCACTTTCTTCACAACATCAATAAACAAACAAGCAACTACTATGAGGATTATGGCAAACCAAGCAGAACCACTTGACAACAGCTGAACAAATACAAAGTACATGTCCTGGGTATGTAAAAATGGCCTGAAAAGTTAAAAGAAGTGGCAGTTACTAAAAGGAACTTCTAGAAACAAAAGTACAGCACAGGCTGTCTCAAGTGTATCTATTTCACATCAGGCATTGAGTCTCTCAGGATGCAGAGTCACAACTGATGGTGCCCATGTACAAGTCCAGCAACATGTTGGACCTGACCTGCAAAGAAACTCTGGGGAGGGAGGGTACTTAACTTTGGAGGGAAAGGTTCTGATTTAGTTTTAAATTGTGTTGCAGGAAATAAACCATCATCCTATTCCCCCAGGACCCCAAAAATACAAAGCAAAATACCCCCCTTCACTGATTCAAACCCAGCATCTTCATTTCTGTTGCAAATATTTACCTATTACATAGCACCTCTGGGAACCTATCTACTTCTTATGAGCAAAAATGCCTTCATAGTCACAGGCTGACAGAGACAAGCCCTGTCTGTCCTTGAGCATAGGACAGTGTAGCAGCATTACTCAAATTTTTAAAAGGATCACCAAAAGAAAGTGGCTGCTCTAGGTTTAATTTTTTTTTTTTTTTAAAAACCTGTCATAAAATTCAGAGCATGATGGTACAAGATAATCCTACAGTGTTTTTTCATAGTTTCATTGATCTTATGTGCTACAGAAAGGGGGAAAAAAAGAATCACTCACCAGATAATTCCCCCATAAAACAAGGAGAATATGAAATAAAATACAATGGATCCCCAAGTAACAAAATGGTTTATCCATGTCCAGAAGTGAGTTTCTAGTGCCATCTGAAACAGAGATAATGTCAGTGAGCTTCCTTTTTTCACCATCTTCACAGAAAATTATAAATACCAGTCTGAACATACTTATGAACTTCCAGCCCAAACACTAAACATTGTTGTGACACACAAAAACTAGAGAAACATTTCAACCACCATCGAAACTAAATGTAAAAGTCACTTATCTGGAACCCCCAAGAATCAATTACTTCTGTATAACTTTTGAATCAATTTTAAATTATTGCTTTATTACATATTTGCCTATATTTCCAAACACAGAGAGTAGTCTGTGCAATATCATACCTTCATTGTGACAGTTATAACCATAACGGTGAAGACCAAGGTACCAAATGTCCAGTTTCCAAACATCTAAGAAAAGGGCAAGGAAAAATCATGGAAGATAAAAAAATCAATTAAGAGCATTCACAGTAAGTAAGTTAAGATTCTTCTCAAGTCAACTACACTAAAGAAATTAGTCTGTGGACATAAGCTTGTGACAAGTAATCATCATGAAAAAGCAAGGAGGATACAACACAAACTACTAGGAAAATAATACAGCTTATGATAAGAGCAAAATTAACAACCCAGAAGTCATCTTTCTTATTGGTTCAAAATAAATCACCACAAAGGCTACATGAAATATGAAAAAAGTTCAAAACAGTAATATGAAATGATAGGAAGATGAAGATATCAATTTGATCAGTTTTGATAAGCATCCAATAGAAAGGAAATACTGGGTGGAAGGTATTCATTTTCACGTAAGTGCAAAACACTTTTGAGTTTAAACATTTTCAGATAATTTCCAACATGCAGCATCACCTGAAGGTTCACTTTTTACCCCAAGCACAATTTTACAATTCAAAAATAATGGTGCCATTGCATTTTACAAAGAAAATTGTAAGGAAAAGACACTTTGTTTCAAGGCTAATAAACCCAAAAATAAGCTTACATTCTAAAACACTTAATCTGTCACTTTTGTATTCTCCTGTGCATGAAAATTAAACTATCAAAACTCTGAACAAGGTCTACAACAATAAAATCTCAGCTCTGACAACCAAGCAGGGATGCTGAGGTTGTATCTATCTACACACATGCTGCTCACACAGAGCTGCCACTCTACAACAGGTCCAACTGCTCTGCTCCTGGAAGCAGGCTGGGTGCTGAAACAGAAAATGTTGCTATTTTGCAGCTATTTTTGCCACTGACAAACTGAACAACGACCAAATCCTCAACTTTGTATTTCCTGGTAGCAGATTAAGCAAGCAAGGAGGAAGGTACCACATGCAGACAGGCAGAGTCATCCTACAGTTGATGTGTCAGTACGGCACAGAGGCACGGAACTGGGATTCACACAGTTGTAGTTCTTGTTACAGAGCTCTGACAGAAAAATCCCAACAGCCTGATGACAGATCTCACAACTGCTTTTCTTGTCTATACACTAAGTACAAAATTGAGGCAGCCATGAGTCTGGATTTACTGATAATTTTAAAGATCTCTGTTACAACACGTCTTCTGAAGCCTTCGATTTACTTGTCATGACGTGCTGGTTGTTAACTGCTGCAATAGTAACCTTAAAAGTGAAATTAAACTGCTCCTGAGTGACCTGTGAAAGAAAGTGTCTTTGCTAACACTGCTCTCAATGGTCACAGAGTTAGAACACAAAACACAAACGGGTTCTTGCCACCATTTTATTTTTGAACACGTTTACATTGCGGATGCTGCATCCTTTAATCCTATGAAGTAACAGATACAAAATATTGTATCTCCTCCTCTTCTAAACTCTTACCATTTGCCTGTTAGGTTTCAATATCTGACGACATGCACAGCATGAAAAAGGGGGGAGAAAAAAGAACTAAAAGATCAAGTAGTTGCACAATGGGTTGAGGTAAGCCTAACAAACACCAGGATTAACAAATTATTTACAGTCTCCTCTATTCTGCTGTGCTCCAAACCACGAACCTGGAACAGAAATGTGAGGCCTTGCACTAACACTACCCTGTATCACAGATTTGCACAGGTGACCACTTCTTGAGGACTTCTTACTCTAGCAGCACACTAGGTTCTCTTGCCCTTAATTTTGGCTTTTTCACTCACACGTTAAATTTGCAAGAAACTTTAAGCACTGCAGATATCTTACTGCAACACACAGCTCTACCAGTTCCAATAACCACCTTTTAGCAAACACAGAAGGCACAGTAACAAAAAACCCACAGTCTCAGAATTTATCTGAAGTCATATCACATGAGAAGCCAAAGGGCATCTGTCAATTCCCCAAACTAAACAGTTGTTAGTAAATACAATGGAGGAAGTCTGTTCCTGCCTTGTGGACATTTACTAAGCAATTCTGAAGTGAGGTGCTTTGACAAGTTAAGATGGATGCAACCAAGACACACTGATTCATAGTCTAAAATTACCTCGTTAGCAGAGTTCTGAAGGACCTTTACCAATTCACAAGAATTTCAAATCGCACAGCTTGTAACAAATGGCAAGAGATGACACACTCATACCTCAGCTGGAAGAGACATTTTAGTCTCAGCACAACTATTTTAATGTTCTTATCAAACACCTCAAATGGAATAGGTGCTCCAGCTGCACCACTCCACTGCTCCTCTCTCTGCAGGGATGCTCAGAACCACCAGCTTTCTGATTTTAGTTCTCAAGACAACTCTGTCTACTGTCTGTAGATCACTACATTTTTAACTAAACTTCCTGAGCTCCCTGTCACCAGGTGACCACTGTGAATTCAGCATGATGCTATTTCTGTACCTTGTGCCATAATCTGCAACTCTGCCAAGCACTACATGAGAATCAGCAAGTGCTCCATGCCAATATTAAGAATGGCATAATGAGAAGCAAATGTATTTTTCCATTACTACCCAAGGGAAAAATCAGTACCTAATTGTTCTAAACTGAGCTAAATAACTCAGAACCAGGGGAAATGAGGAAACAGACTTCTAATGGTTTCATCCAAGCTCTAGGGTTTTTTTCTGAATGATTCTTCCTGTGAACTTTAACATCTTTAAAATAAAGTGTCAAATTAGTATTTGATTATGTCATTAACTTATTGTCTTAAAAACATTTATTGAATAAAAAGTATAACTTAAAAGCAGCTTGCACCACTAAATTTAAAAAAAAATCTGAGTAATATAATTAAAATAATACATTTTCAGGAGAAGCTTTAAGACTTTTGTCAACTTTCAGATTTAAGCCTAGCTTTGTAACAGCTACTAAAGAGAAGCCATTGCTTGACACTGCAATTAAGTCCAACTCAAAATGAGTTTTGAATGAATGGATATAAATACTCATTTACTGACATGAAATACAATTTTGACGAAAACAGTATACAAAATCAAACAAAGTCTAAGACAACCATGACACATTTATTATCTTGAAGGGTATGTTCTTCAGGGACATACACTTTCTGACAATGTCTTACAATTTCCACACTAAGAAATGTCATTCTTGAGAGCAGACACTAATATTGACAAAGACTCTTTGATAATTATGTAGTCCATAAAATTTTTTGGACACAAGAGGATTTTTTCAAAAAAATATTAAGAAATATCACCGCAAATACAGTGGTATAATAATACTTATGATATTGTACCTGGCCATTTCCCAGCAGAGAAGTGTCTTCTCCCATTAGAAGATACGAGCCATAAAAGAAAACAAATGCATGAAAGAAGCCCAAGATGGTCCAGTAAAGAAATGGTTTAAACCCCAGATGGGCATTTTTACTGATGTCTCTGCAGAAATAAAACAGATTTTGAATTTCATACTGTCTTTGTATAAACCATGAGTTAGTCACATGACATTAGTGCTACTGCTTTGAATAAATGTAACTTTCAACTGCAGCGAGACACATTTAACAAATGCTGACATACGAAAAAAATACATAAATCATGGGCAAAAAAGGGACTCTCAGCTCTCATGATTTGGATCTGATTTAGGCAGTGGTCACCAGCGGCAAGGGTCTCTAATGGGTCAAATTTGGAATAGCACAAACTAGAATTCTTGTCCCTGGAGGTGGAATTGCAAGGGGAAGAAAAAGTCAGATTTCCTGATACTTACCCCCTGTTCCGCTTAAAAGACCTTTACAACAAGAGAAACATCTGAGAGACATCTCTTTTTTACAAAAACAGATGCTGTTTTCCCTCCAAAAAGCACAATGCAGTGCAACATGTTGCCACTGGGAGGACATCTAAATCTACAAGAAATCACTTCTTTTCCCAGTAAAGGATTTTTTGTGGTGATTCCCGTAATCAGGTGTCCTAGTTTTCCATTTGCATGTCTGAGTCATTTTCACCTCCCACACGTAATGGAGGAGAAGGCTGCCAATCATGAGAGCTGACCAAGTGCTCAATGCTCTTACATTGTTAACATGACTGACATAAAAAGATCCTTCTCTTAGAACACTCCTGTTAATTAACATTTAGGATGAAAGCTACGTAGCTGCCGTTCTACCTCATCAAGACAGTTACTAAAAACGCCTAAGTCACAGATAAAATATTGCACAAATGTCTAATAGCAAGTTCAGAACTCTGCAGATGCCACTATTGCTGTACATGATGTGCTACTGTGAGAATTCCTGTAAGATGCACGTACCTGTAGAGCACGGGTTTACTCTGCAATACATGCGGATGCACATGCTGCTCAAAAAGACTGTATATGAGGACAGGCAGGGAAGTGAAACAAATATTGTACAAAGTCAGGTATACACTGTCATAGAGTGTCTGGAAAGGAAAACAGAAATTATTTTGAGTCTTGTAAAGAAAAAGAGGTGCTTATGCACAGTAAGAGCAGCAACAAATCATTACTTATAGGAATTTACTTGTTAGGAAAAAACTGCACTCTCATAACCACCTAGTAAATCGAGCTATCAAATACAGAAAATCAGCTGGATACGTTTTAAGTGTAAATCTGTGCTGCTCCTGTGTAGTTATTTACTAATTTAGTTATATATTTATTAGTTATTTAATATTATTAATAATTAGCAATTATTTATCATTAATAATTAATATTAGTACATTTACCAAGATGTAAGGCATCCAATACTTACTTGTTGTGAAAACAAACAGAAGAACTGATATAAAAATTGTGGTGTAATAAAGCACACATTCTGAAATAAAGAAAAGTGAAGGAAATAGTTAATCCTTAGTATATTCCCCACAACTCTAAAAGAAACTGTTAACTCTTACAAGCTGGTAAAAATACACATGTAGACCATAAAGCATTTCAACATTTTACAGGGCCAAGTGAAGCAATATTCTTTACTTGACAGCACATTTTGTTTATTTGTCCTTTGGGACAATGAACCTGGAAAGCATAAACTTAATTATATCTGCCTGATGAACACATCTCACTATGGGAGTCTAAGTAGTATTAAAGGAGAAGAAATCCCTTCATTTTCCCCTCAGTTTCTTTTTAAGAATTTCCTTGCAAAATAGATTCCACATTTCATTCAAGAAAGCCATACCCTGCTCATGAGAGCTTGTTGCATGGGAGCAGACAAAGCAGAAACCAAAACCCAACAACATAATGTTGCCTTTCAAGGAAAGGGAACAACTGAAAAGAAAAGGTGGTGCGAACACGTTTTTCTGTGAACTCCACTGGCACTCTTGGAAAACTCACCTTATAAAAAAAGTACTGTACAAGGGTTGCTATTCTAATATAGTAAAAGTGCCCATGAACAAAAAGCAACTTGGAGAGGAATTTAAACCGAGCTATTGCATAGTCACTGTTCCTTACAGCTTGCCTTCCTTCCTTGCCCATGATTCCTGTAATGTTTGGGAAACAAAACAGAAAACAGGTTAAGTATTACAAAAATCGAAGTTTAAAAACCCCAACAATGTACATCTGAAGCTACAGTTCTGTTTTCCTGCACTTCAACATTATAAAGACTTAAGCAACTTTGCTGCAATAGAAGGTATTGCTCCTCCCACTTACAACTAAGGGAAACTGCTCTTTTGATGCTGATTCAAATTAAAAAAGCCTTTATTGCTTCAGACAGAAGAAAGTTACCTATGCCAACATGTGCTTCTTGTATCATGCTCACATCATTAGCACCATCACCGATTGCTAATGTTATGGGTTTCTCTGGAGATGTTTTTAACAGTCGCACTACCTGAAAAGAAAAAAATTAAACATTTTAGATTAGTCTACTCACAAACCATGTCACCAATTCCCAAGTATCTTACTAGTTCCCTACCTGTAAATATAATTAATACATTTTATGAGCATGGATGCTTGGGTAAAAAACATCTTTGGCATATCACAAGCACAAATTCATTCCTTCTTTAGAAAAGCAGCTCGTTTGGGGACAAGACTTATTTAAGTCTTATGCCTGTCTTGAACTTGTTCTTCTGTTCTTATTTCAATATTCTGTTACATTGCTTAATTTGCTGCTTTATCATGTGAAACAGTCAAGTGAAAGTTGGAACTGAAAATTTACTTATGGAGTAATACAGATTTAATGCCCTTTACTAGACGTGCCTAGATTCTTCATATTTGTAATTAATGGAACTAATCCAGGTAAAATGCAGTAGCTAAAAGATCAATACGCTGTTATTAAAGAAAACAGATTCTTTTTAAAGCAACTTCATTATCACCAAGGGGTATTCTCAGTTGGAAAAGACACAGAAGGAGATAGGACAGAACAAGGAAACAAACTGTTGACGTACAAGGCTGTAAGATAATCAGAAAGAAGAGCAGTGAGACCCTGCTCTTTGCAGGAAGGAATCAGATCTTTAAGTAAATGCCAACACTATTCTAAATACAGAGGAGATAGTTAGATGAGGCTTTTGATTAAGGAGAATTAGTAGTTCATTAACCTCCCAGAGAGCTCTAGCTTAAGGCAGAAGCTTCACTTAATTCAGTTGTAACCAGGCTGCAGAGACAAAGGTAGGAATGCAGATCAAGAGGCTTTCCAAAAACAAGAAAATAAACACGTATGAAAAAACGTTTTCCCCCTGAAGTTCCAGAAAGCCCAAGGTGGAAATATCAACAGAGAAACATTGGCACAAGGTAAGTAGACACAAAAACCTGTTTGGAATAATTGAGTTGTAGTTGGCAGTGACAGGGCACTGATTCACAGGAGCAGGAACTCACTTCACATGAGGAACGGAACAGTGACTAAATACAGTCCACAGCTCAGAGAAATCCACCTGACTGTGGGAATACATTTCCTAATTGCAGGTATTAATATGCAAGCTTAAAGGTTCCCCATTTTTAAGAGGTAATTACTTCAAGTACATTTAGCATTAGATCCTAGCAAGCAGCCCTACAGAAGTAACAAGGCCGCAGTGTGTCACCCAGATCAGTCCTCCTGAGGTCCCCAAGGCTGGGGTAATTCAGACAGACAAACATCTATGTGAAAAGGTCAAGACAAATCCCCTGGCAAATTTTAACAGCAGCAATCAGCAGCAGCTCTGAATGACTGACATGATGATGTTTAAAAAGGTTTTCGAGCTATAGAACATGCCAGAATTAGTAGTGAGACTGCCAGCCATCTATTAACACGCATTAAAGTTAGTAAAAGATGCAGGGAATGTTAAGCTGAATTCCAGCTTAACCTTGGAATAAGTCTCACAAAAAGGATGCCTACAGCAAAAGATCATGTGCAAGGCTAGACTAAACTGCCCTGGACTTCCTTGCTTACCCTTCATGTTGTATGGCATTTGTCTCAGTGATTTATATACTTCAATGTTTAAAATTAAAATGTCACTGCCATCAAAATTACATTTTACTGTACTTCATGAGGAAAGACAGGAAATAATCTCCATTATCTGCTGGACAGGATAGGAATTATGGGAAGCAATACAAAGCATTATAAATCAAGTTAAATGACAAAATAAGAACAAGGACACAACAATGGCAAATAACTGTACCTTAAAGAGAGGGGATGGCAAAAATTTCAGCTAAAAGAATGGACAGAAGTGGACAAATAAAACAAACTGTTTTACTCATAGTAGTTACAACTTGCTTTTAACATTTTATTGAAACTAATATTATACCAGCTGAAGAGTTCTATACTGAAGGGATTCTAAAGACTGCATTAGAACTCTGATTAATTGTTGGAAGCAGAAGAGTGACCTCAAAACAGGTCACTCATGCTATAGTAAAACAGCCTGCCCTCTTTTGCACATCTAGTACCTCATATAAGGGTTTCCTAGTGCTTTAAGGTGAAGAGATGTCTTCTCCCAAAGAGAGAAAATTTCGAAAGAAAAGAATAAATATTCCAGTCATTTAGAGCTTAGCTTTCCAGACTGAAAAAAAAAAAAAAATCACAAAATTTAAATTTTAATTCCATCCACCTTTTATTTGAGTAAAATTAAGTACATGTGAAGGAAAAACGGTCTTAGAAGAGCATGAAGGAAAACCTCCCATGGACACTAGGCCTCTGCTTCTCTTCCCTTTTACTTTATCCTCAAACTTGGGTATATTTTTTAAAATACTCAGAAAAGCACACTTCTTCCTTACAGGTCTGTGAACTTTCGATTTGGCTTTTTTTCTGGAGAAGTGATGTAGCAGGCAAGGCTAAAGCATGCAGGTGGCCAGGACAGCTGCTGCCTTACACAACACTCAAGAGGCAGATTTAAGATGAGCCTTTTGCTTGCACGGTGGCAGGATTTTGACTTTTCCATCCACTCGCAAATTTTCAAACACACATGTAAGAAACTTCTGAGCAAACTACTCCAGATCAACTGAATTTAACAAGGATTCTGAAGTCAGGCAAACAAACAAAGCAGTTTCAGAAATCCTTGCCTCCTCAAAGCATGGTAAAAGTACTTTAAAGGCAATCCTGATTATATTTGCACTTACCTTTGCTTTCTGAAGGGGTGCCATACGACAGCACAACACTGCAGAACAGTTTTTGCAAACTTCCATGAACAGTTTTTCATGTTCCCTGAGTGCAAGAGAGAGGCTGGTCCCATCCACAACCAGTCCATGTTGGATAACATGGTCTTCCTTTATTCTATTCAGGGACAAAAATGTTAACTTTGTACCAGTGTCATAGAAAAATTTCAATTTGCTATAAACTCTGCTGTTGGCCAGACAGTAAGCAAAGAACTTAATCTGTTAGACAGATTGCTTCTTCAAGTCTGTTATTAATAATTTTTCTAAAAAGGTAACTTAATTTCTTTGGCACATTCATAAAAGAGATTGTCATAAAATTTGCAAATGAAAGAAAACCAAGCTAAGATCATCACTGAGATAGCGACACCTCAGTTACTTTACCTCTTGGCAAGCTGCCTCAGTTGTTCTGCACAGGTACTGTCTGACTTGTGCTGCACAAGTTCAAGGATGTTCATGGTTCTGTGGAAGTGTCCACAGGACAAACTGACACTAACAGCTGTCTCGTGCTTGTCTCCAGTGAGCACCCACACTTTGATACCAGCCAACCTGAGGGCTTCTATAGTTTCTTGGACTTTCTCCTGCAGTCTGGAAACAAGAAAAATCTCAAGTAACCAATAAAACACTTTACTAATAAAGAGCTCACACTGTAACCCTACTGCCATGGCAAGTTAAGATTGTATTTCCCATGTCCCATGTACGGTCAGAGAATCACAGCCTGGCAGATGATACTCTGTTACCAGCAATAAAACAAAGGCCTTGACGAAACAAAAACTGAACTTAATCCTGCTAAGGGATCAAAAATTTGTCATAAGCATACCTTGATTTAAATTATTTACTGCAACTATTCCATTTCACATACAGGAAATCTCTCCTGATGAAACACAGCTGTACATCACTGTTATTAAGCCAAAATCAGTTGGTACAACTTGTGTTTGGAATGCTCAATCCAAAGAGTGGTAAACATACTAAACAAGAATAGCACAAAACTTTTGATCATAGTGGGAGAGTTTTTCACACGTTATATTTCAGGAGTAAATCCTAAACTCGCTGGGATTGACAGTAGTTAGCAGTAGCTCCATTGCATACTTGTCTTCTACTCCCGTAGCCCCAAGTAATTCCAGATCCCTTTCTATGAAGTTGAACACATCTGCTAATCTTTCCTCCCGTTGTTGTAAGGCAGTCCTGGCCTCATGAAGGCGTTTGCCAATTTCTTGATACTCCTCAGGTGTGAATCTTCTGTAGGCTACGCACAAAGTTCTTAGTCCTTTCTGTGAGAAAATAAAAGACTACATTCAGAGTAGACAAGATTCTGATCTAACAAGAAGGTGTCACCTGTAATTTGTTCACTTCAAGCTACAGAATTTATCCCAGATGAATCTTCTTCTGATCAGCTGGGCGAGCACATACACTTACCAAAGCAAATTCATCCACATGTATCCTTGTTTTGTCTATTTCTCCACTCTTACTACGAGGAAGAATGGAAGATTCTGCTCCTTTTGTGAATAAAAGCTTTTCCCCTACAAAGTAAAATAGAATAGAAATTAAGAATAATGTCATTTAAGAAGTTCTCAGCTGCAGCTTTTACGTTTTCTGATGACCTACCTGAGGGACTCTCCACAATGACACTCATTCGTCTGCGATTTGGATCAAACTCCAACACATGAAGCAATTTGTACCTGTATTTTGTGTTTTAATAAAAGAGGGAAGGGCAAGAAAACATTTTTAGAAATAATTTTCCAAAGACAATTACTTATAAGCAGACTCTTACACCACAGACCTTTCCTCAACGTGTCATTTTAAACTCTAAAAGCAATGCTACCACTGATGAACAACAATCACTGCTATTAGTCATTGTGCAATTCATTGCTTTTCATCACTTTATATATACTTTATTCCATTTTGTAAGTATAAAAGGCTCTACCAATAGGAATAGTTTCCTGAATACTAACTTGATACCTGGAGATTACAAGCAGCTCCTATTTCTTTATCCTTCTGTCATTATTTCAAGTGTAACTTTGAAAACTACATTTTGTTTCTAACATTTGTAAACAATTCACACTGTCAAAAAACAGTGTGTGTGCCCTGATAACTGGACTAGTTTTTTATGTTACCACTAGTGCAGAAAATTAATTTTAGACATTTAACTTTGAAGTACTGCCAACTGATAAAGATAAAATGGGTAAAAGGAGTTATGACATACTGCAGATATACAGTTATCAATAACATTTCTACTCATTTTGTGAAAGTTTGAAATATATAATTAGATTATGCACAGATGAGAGTGATTCTGGAAACTTCTAGAGCTGAAAGCAAAAACTCTAGGACTTGAATAAGCAGTTCAGTTTTCCAGCTCTACTACAGTCTCAACCTTTGAGGAATGGGAAAAGATACAAACTGTTACAACACACACCTACACAGAGTAACTCACAAAATTCTTGCATCTCAGCTACTATTGGTAAGGAATAAGATGCAAGCTGTCTTGAAGACATCAGGGGAAAAGCATTAAATAGAGCACGCTGTGGAAAGGCAAGGTTTGCTTATGAACAGAGAGGATTAAGAAGAGAACTTTACATTAATCATCACTACTGTTCTGCCCTTCAAAATAAACAAGGAATAAAAAAAAAATACCTCTCTGGTTTTCCAAGGCTTTTTACTTCCATACTGTCTCCACTAATTCCAGTAAATACTACTCCAACCCTAAAAGGAAAAGTAAATAGACATTTAATTTCCACTTTAGACAAAATGTCTATTGATGTAGGAAGGGGAAGGTGGCAGGGAAGAAAAAGAGAGATTCTTATACCCCATTACTGGTCTCTACTTCTAGAGAAAATTAAGAATTCTCACTTTCTGCAGTATTTTATTTGCAACACACTCTGACCACTATGATTTCCCAAGGATTTCCATAAATATTTTAAATGATGACAGGATCCTTAGGGTTTTGTGTATTTTACATTTCCATGTTTTCCCAGTAAGCTGACAGTGCCAGGCCCTGGGCTTTACAAACATCCCGAGCAATTTTTACGGCTGCTTTCAGCCTGGATTGCCTGCCCTAGGAAGCAATTCCTGTGTTAGGCACTTGTGGCAGCACAGCTCACCGGCTTGCAGCTTCAACTAAAGCTTTCTCATCTGGTGAAGAAGCATAATACTCCAATGGGGACGTTATTCCATTGGCATGCCAGGGACCGTCAGCACCATCTGTCTGATCTGCATTGATCTGCACTGTATGACAAAGACAAACTGCCTTCAAGAACAGTTCTTCCTCTTTCACCTGTAAGAAAGAAAAATCTTAGTTTTTAATATTTATGTAACAACCCAGTTTTGAATGCACTCAAAAAAAATGTTTTTACTTAAAAATCTGCCAAATATTTCATGTTAAATAATTTCATCTCAACATGTTTAATAAATATTATTTGTTCAGTAGCACTTAATAGCTTCAAACTATTCAGAAATTCTGATTTATGTTGGTTTTTTTTCATGACAGTGGTGCAAGAATATTTCTCTGAAATAAAAACCACTTTCTATCTTGGATGACTAATGGTGGGAAAATCAAAGTCTCTTACCAAACCATGCCTATTTCCATCTGGAGAATCTTCAGAAAATCCCTCTGGAGTTAGTTTACCATTGACTTCTTGGTACTTTATGCCATTAATGGAGCACTCCCGAAACTGCATCTCATTTTCAGTTAATGTACCAGTTTTGTCTGTAAACACATACTCTACCTTTTGTAAAATAAAAACAAAAAAAAACCAGACTTGGAATTGCATATACTTGTTAGAGGAAAAAAAATAAAATAATCTCAACTCACACTTTCTACTACATATGTTGTTTTGATCATGTAAGAATTTTAGCTTTTGCCATCACATGTCTAAACCTTATTTTAAAATTAATCAAAGCACAACCAATAAAAAGCCTGCCGTAATGAATTTTAATATTAAAAACTAAGAAAATAGGTTAAAAAAAAAAAAGAAACTATGTATTTTTTACTCTACCTGTCCCAATTCCTCATTGAGGTCTGAAGTATTTACTTGCGCTCTCTGGTTTGTTTCTTCATGATAGAGGTCAAGATCCCAGCCAATAAAAAAAGATCCAAGAAATTTTTGCATCTCGACAGTCACATAGAGTGAAATAGGTATAATGAAATTGTAAAGTACCAGAAAGGCCAGAAAATCCGAAATAAATCTCAGGATCTAGAAGAGAAAAAGAAAAAATGTGAAGATTACGACAGTCATCAGGTGAAACACAGTGACTTAATTGTGTTTCAATATGCATGAGGAACGACAAATTGAGAGAGCCAGAGAAGACCAAGTCCCACATCCACGAGAGAGAGACAACACGCCCAGTGACAACGCAGGCATTCCCAGGATGCCCCAGTAACACGCCTTCAGACTGATGCAAAAAGTCTGCCTTAAGCTATGACTGGGTGTTTGACTTCTCAAGTTCATTAATCTTTGTCTATCTACTGAATCTGTCAGGAGGGCTGCCAATTAATATTAACTGTCAGGGTGATTCTATTTTCAAAGAGGGTCTGAAAAAAGTAACGTGTTCCCCATTCCAAACAGCATGACTCATTTAGGCTTATCTAAGGAACCATAAATTGTGAAGGCAAACAACTGATATTCCATGCTGTCAGAGGAATCTGCAAGGACTCTGTGTTGTTTTAGGACAGCAGAGTGACAAGAGGGTTCCTGTCTGCTGGCATTCCCCAGTGAGGTGGGTGATCTGGACTACATGACAAGGGATCATGTGGATTTCCATGGCACAGACTTCGTTTATGCCTCTTCAAATCACTGTGTTCCACACTTACAATTGAGGCAAACGCCTACATAACAAGATAGAAACTTCTCTTTATTAGGTATGAAAATTTTAACAAACTCTGAAATGCAACACTACAGCCTCTCTGAAGTTTGTTTTTCATCTGGACAACAAACTCACTATCTGAACTGTACTTTGCGAAGACTCTTAACCAACCCTTGAATATTGAGCAAGGGAGATTAGAGATGAGAAAAAACAGGCCATCTCTTTCAACTCTACCAGATATTGGCGTAGAAGAACATTTTAAATAAACGGTAGATAAAAGTAGTGAAGAGTTTGCAAAGCTAAATAATGTCTGTTCTTCCCAATTAGGGAGTGTTGCTATAATTACTTAACAAAAGTCAGTAATTAAGGTGTCTGACAAAACCTGAGCAAGTTCTGTGCCTAAAGAGATCTTCCAAACTAAACCAGAAAATACAGACAGAAACCAAGAGCATATGCCAGGGGAAGTTTAGGTTGCATATTAGGACGAAATTTTTTACAGAGAGAGTAATCAGACATTGGAATGGGCTGCCCAGGGAGGTGGTGGATTTGCTGTCCCTGAAAGTTTTTAAGAGGGAACTTGATGTGGCACTGAGTGCCATGGTCTGGTAACCACGACAGTGTTGGATCAAGGGTTGGACTTGATGATCTCAGAGGTCTTTTCCAACTTGGTTGATCCTATGAATTCATGTGAGAAAAGATATACTGAGAAGAAGTGACAATTACTAAGGTTACCGAGTTTCTTCAAGCACTATCTATGAAATAACAATCTGCACACACAGGACAGATGGACAGGGAAGCACTCCTAATAAGGAGATCAGCAGGTTGAGAAATGCAAAGCACACTGTGGAAGTAAACATGTAAGAGAGAAAAACAAAGACACGATAGAAGGAGAATGACACTGCAGAAACACATGGCTCTCTATGTTACTGATGGCAAAGGTAAAGGAATGGAAAGGTTGAGGAAATATTTCTCCCTGTTCTGTTCAGAACTGAAAGGGCTCCACAGGCTATTCTACCTTGCATAGCCAAAACTTCTACTTAAGCTCCTGAACTTCTTTGGACAAAGGTACACTCATAGAGAAATCAAAAATTATGCAGAAAGCAGAAAAATACAGAGTGATTAGAAAAAGAGATACTTCTCAGAATTGCAGATTTCAGGAATACTCCAAAGTATCCCTCCAACCTCTACAGAAAGTGAGAAGGGCAAGCAGGAGCTTGAGCAAAATTACAGCCTTGCAAAATTGCCTGAACCATCTCAACATCACAAAACGTCCAAAATTCCTGAACTGTGAAATTACTGTAGTAGGACACACAAAACAGCCATTCTCCTCCTCTTTTCATTTATGGAATGACAAAAGACACCCTAAAGAACAGTAACAAGAGCACAGAATATCAGAAATATGTCCTAACAAAGCCCAAAATTTTCAAAAAGCTTGGTCTTTCCATAAAGGAAAAAAAGTCCAACTAGTAAGAGTGTAGAGATATTCCTACACTATAGTGAGGCTACATAGGACTAACACTCTCAAAACCACTGAGAGAACAGCACAGAGACTCGGATCATGTGATACTTACACCTATATCCAAGAACAGAGACATAATAAATAATACATTCAGTATCTTAATTGAGTGTTCCCCAGATATGCAACTGGGTAAACTACATTACCTTACTGCTATTTCTTTCATGCTCTGTTTTTTCATTGTACCAGGGCTCATCCCATTTCTCTTCAGCTTGCCATGCATACTTTAAAATAGTGCTCAGAATGGCTTCAAAGAGGAGGATTATTAGATAAATAATCAAAAAGGAATTCATGGACCTATAAAGAAGCAAAAAAAGAAAAGCAATTTCAGTTTATTTTACTCAATCTGTTGACACACTGTGGTTACAAGAATTAACTTACTGGACAGCACTTTAAAAAACATACCCTGTGCTTGATATGGATATAAATTTTCTGTGTGACAAGCAAGCAACAGAATGGAAAAGAAATCCTACACCTTACTAAGATAAAATCTCTATATGGCAATATGAGGACTAGATTAAGGTGCAAGAACATCCCAACAGCTGACTTGTGTCACACCTGCTGTCCAAAATTTTGGGGGCTGACTTATCCTTCTCTTCTTGAGTTTCTAGCAAGGCTGTGAAGGCAGTACAACCAACCACATTGGAAACCCAAGGCTGCACCTTTTCCTTCAGTTCAAAGAGCACTGCCACGTGCACCTGACTATTTAACCCAGGCCATGCTACACCAGAATGCAGTCACATCTGTCTCTATATTCTGTCCCATCAGACAGACCATCTTTCCACCCCTTGCTTTGATGACTGAACGTTCACACTCCAGTTCTGTCTGTATGCAGCTATAGAAGAATAATCAATCCCACGCTTGCCTAAGAATTCCAGGAGACTCTCTCAGAGTTTTAGTAACTGCAACAAAGGCAACATAAATCAGAACTTTTCCCTTTAAAGTAAATCATGAAATTCAACATACAAATCTCTAATATAGTAACACCTATCCTGTAACCTTGAGCAAGCTTGGGTATTTCCACTTCATACACGACTAAAGAACCAATAAAGGATGAAATATTAAGAAATTAATTTTATCTTTACAGCTTCCTACCAAAGGCAAGGCAATCAACACACTCTTCCCTTGCCTAAAACCCAGTGAACCCAATAGGGTTTTAAAGTTACAGAGAAAAAACTAAGTTAAAGCTCTATGAATAAGAGAGATATCAGAAAATAAACATACTTTTCTACTGCTGACCGTTTCTGAGATTTACTCTTGTAATTTAATGCCATCTTTGTCTCCATACCTGTATACACTGCAACACCTGGGAAGGAAGGGGGGGGAAAGAGTTATACTTTACTTTCTGTATATATAAATTGCAGAAATTTTCATTTTGAGAGACGTAGGATAAAATCAAAAGGTGGTATTACTTTTGTGTTTACTTCAGTATAGTGATGAGACAGTATTTTGTAGGTATTTGCAATATTCTGCTATAGTAAAACAGTACTACTGAAGTAATTTTAACACCTACTTTAACACTGTTCATTATTATGACTGTACTGCTCAATATGTATTTTATGGAAATCAGAATGGTAAATCTCAGGAGAAAGTCTTGAACAATGGGTAGCAGTAAGAACAGTCATTTATCCATTGAAGTTAAGTTATTCCTTTATCAAACCACTTCAAATATTTTCACGGAACGGAGCTGGAACTTTATGTCCTTAGAGATTCTTCAGCATAATATCATTACTTTCATCTATAATCATATCCCCTCAGGTAACAGGCAGCAAGATTATTACAATTTCTTCAGTGCAAGTAGAATTAAAGCACAGTTCATAATCATGCTTTAAGAAGAGAATACTCTTTAAATATTTAGATGTCTACAAACCAAATATTTCTTTAGTGTTTTTTAATCTTGCTCCACGAAGTAAGAGACTTTCAGGCCCAAGAGGTCTAAAAAAGAAATAGAAATATCAGCATTTAAAAATTAGTTGTTCTGTATTCTGTAAAACCAATGAAATCCAGTCTCCTATGCAAAGTTGTCCTATATTCCCTATGAACTCCCAATGCAGCAACTTCAACCCCATCCTCATTTAGATCCATCTTCAATCATCTTACACGCCTCACCCACACATCTCCACAGAGCTCTGTTTCATTTCATGTCTCCTTTGGACACTGTCATACTCTCCCACCACTGTTACATATCCCATAATTACTGATTGAGCTAAATATTCCAAATGGCTGGTTCAGAGAGACCTGCAAGTTACTCAGGAAGCAAGCAGGCAAAAAGCCAGTTGAGCTCACAGTACACCAGGAATGCTATTTTTAGGTTTGGCTAACTACCCATCTTACTTCTACCCCTCTGACAAACTGAAATGATCTAGAAAGTTCAAAATTTTTCATATCAAACAGAGACAAACAAGTAGATGGTCACACCACCACCACAGTAGTGCAAATTTTGCTTCCTAACACAGGAGTAAAAATTTCATAAATTTTTTTTCCTCACATCTATCTCAACGCAATATTACATTCATTTCTTTAGCTAAGTTAACTCCAAACAGGGCTGGGACAATAAAGGTCTAATTGGAAACAAGGTCAATTTAAGGTTAGAGCCATATGTTCTACTCCAGCAGTTGTATCACCTTTAGAAACTATCAGCAGGGTTGGTGTGAAATTAAAAAAAAATGCATTTTTGCCAGTGTTTCAAATGAAAGCAGAAATTTAACAACTGCAGTGGACAGGTTGACATACCAGGTATAAGCAAAAGAAGTAAAGTTCATATGCTAAGTGCTGGCACACAAGCCCTTGGGTTTGCCTTACTTTCCCTTTAGCTTTGCCACAAGCAGTCCATGATCACTATTACATAAACAAAGCTCTTATACCTGAAGTTCCTTTGAAAGCATAACCTGGAGTTACTCAAAAAAAACCCCAAAAGCCAAATTCACAATCCACCTCCCACAGTTAAACATTTAACTTAATTAATTTAACTTAAATGTTACTGCAAATGTGACAGTTACCATCACAAATACCATGTGCAGCAATTATACACAGATTATGGTGGGTTCTTTAAATTACACATACATATGTTAATGTTTTAGGCTAGACTCAAACTTCAACTGAAGAATTGAACTAAAAGGGACTAAATGCTCGAGCATTTAAACTTTTCATGTAAGAAATATTATTTGTATTTCTGGATCCAAGTTTGTAAAACCAGTCTGACAAACCCAAAATAAAAAACCTGAATCACTGCAATACAGTCTAGACAAGTTTATCTTTGAGAGAGAGAAGATAGCTCTTTGCTAGAAGTCAGAACTTGCAATTTTTTTTCCACACTCCCTTTAAACTGACTCTGTTTTATGTTGTCAAATTATTTTGATAGATTATCCCAAAGCTGAACCTCTCAATCTTGAGAGTAATGGATCTTGAAAAGCTCAAAGTGAAGTATCACATAAAGTGACCTTAGAAAACAGCTGAGTGGGGTATTGGGGATGGTATGGGTGGTGTTCTTTTGGGGGGTGGTCAAGGACACTGGACTTGTGGTCAAGTGACCTGCCTTCTACACCCCCATATCTCTTGCAAAAACAATTTACAAATCCTTGATTCACTCTGAACTCCAGGTCACTCCTATCTATAATTGACAAATGTTTGCAAACCTCAAAGGAGTCTCTCAGACTGAGACTTTCAGTCCTTCAGACTGAAGCACACATTACATGGAAAATAGCTCAAGCAGAAATTTCACACAAAAAAAAAAGTGTAATAGATAATATTTTGGACTTTAGAAGAGTGAAAGAACCATAACAGATTTACCTGTTTCTATGACAAATATACATCATAACACAGCACTTCACCTTTTCAGAAGAGGTGACAAGGTTTCTTGAAAGCGCGACTATCCATAACCCACATGATAAAATAATTAAACAACTTAAATGCTATCTATTCCTGAAAATTTGGCCATTTCTTTTGAGTGAGTTCCATGTCTTTATTTCAAACTATGATCTTTCTCACTCCTGTTCTTCCTATTTTCCCTCCTGGTAAACAGGATCTGCTGTAGTTTACATAATATACCACTGGAAATTGTTTCAGATCAATAAATGCTTTAATTAACAACTAGCAACAAAGCTACCAGCTGATTACCAGAGCCTAAAAATTACCCATTTCGGAGCGGTCAAGCCTTTCAGAACCATTATATTAAATCTGAAAAACTGGGGAGTAATGAACTTTCTTTCACTAATTTTCTTTCTTCTCCATCTGAAGTATTCAGTTATAACTGACAACTTTCAGTAAAAATACCCCTCCCTTTTACATATTCAACAGTAACTCTTATTTGTGATGGTTTTGACTTTAACCATCTTAGAAAATTTGACTCACCGTACTATTTCTTCAGCTTGTTGACTTACAGTTATTCTTCCAACAAATCTAAGAGAGATGGAAACGTTTTAGAAATATCTGCATAAAGACTCAAAAATGTAAAAAGACTGTATTTACAAAATCTTTAATGGTTCACAAGTACAAAATGGAACAATATGGAAACACTGGCACCGATTTTACAAGAGACATTTAACAACAGAAATATTTATCTGTCAAAAGAACAGTCGTCTGAGAAAGCCTATTAGGTTTCATTATTAACCACAAAAGATTATATTTCTACTCACTTAAACAGATTGTGACTTTTTGATGATTCAGTAAGAAATAATTCCTCAAAAAATGTAAGTTAGCATATTACCAACCAGAAATAGTATTTTTTCTTTCACTAAAACAAATCTAATCTGCATTTAAAATCTGACATTTGCATATTTAGCATGACCTCAGCCACAAACAGGGACATAAACTTCCATAGCAATTATACCTTAATTTGCTAAATATCAAATATCTGAACTGCTGCTCAAACTGAGTATCTTAGTTTTAATGAATTAAATATTTCTCAAAGATCCCAAAGTTTACTGAAGAACAGCTGTGACACTTGGATTTTAAAAACTACTACTTAATAGCTACCATTTTCCACTATACAATTCAGAAGAAACTTGGATGGAAATATAACTTTTGCTCCCCATGATGTCTACGACATTGATTGCTGATGTTAAAGATATCCCTGTTTTTAATCTAAGGTTTTACTGTTGAAGAATGGAGTTCAAATCTTGAGCACATGCAAAATAAACATGGTTAACACATATCTTTGGAATTAACATAAGCTTACAACAATTTGCTATGATTTGAGTTAATTTCACTTTAAAATATCCTATATAGTACTGAAATCTCCCGGCAGAACCTTACACAACTCATTCTCCAAACTGGTCATATTCATAGGACATTTAATTTTTTTAGATCTGGAAACAAGTTTACTGGTTAGAACAGAAAGGTACATAATTAAAATACAAAAGATAAATAAAAACTATAATTTTTGGTTTAATACCTAAATACTAAAACTTGCCACTTGCAGCTTTCAGTAAGTACATATGTATAAACACAGGCTAATTATTAAAATCTAAAATTCAAGCACGTGTCTGAAGCTATTTTAATTGCAGCAAGACCGATAACATTCATAATATTAAACACCTCATTTTGAGGTGTTTAATTTCAAAATATTTACTACTAAAGTGATACCTGTACAGATCTGCTTCTGGCTGCTGACATTCTATAACAGCTACCAGTTTGTCCAGGTTGGCAACAGACTGCAACACTGCTGTTTCTGGGACCGCAACGTGTGTCTGTAAAACAGCGCCCCTTAAGTTAACACAGGACTACCAGGCAGCAGGGGGGGTATTTCAACAGGCTGAACTAAAAATGGCATCCCAAATTAACTGTTTCACAGAAGTAACCCAGACCTTAAGATTGGTCTCTCCATCCAGACTTGCAGTGGTGACATGGCATGAACCGTCCACTCGATCAGACGACAGAAGCACCAGGTCAACAGGAAAAGTCTCATCTTTGGCTACTCTGACAATGTCCCCCACCTAATGAAGTGAACACAAATGAGAAATACACAAAGGGAGTTTGATAAGAGCAGAATTCATTTCAGCACTGTTACCTAACCATGATCAAACAGGCCACAATGATTAGTAATGAAACGAGAGCTGTACTTATGTGATAGAAACACAATTTTCAGTTTGCCCTTAACCACATACCCGAATGTTTTTAGATCTAGTTTTCACAAGGCCACCACTTCGAACAACATAAACTGGAGCACCGTTGACTTCATTGTCTGCTTTATGTCGTAGCCAATCTTCATAACCCTGTGGAAAACACACAGAAATTTACTTTTCAAGCAATAAACCTAAAAAGCTTACTAAATATCTTCTAAGCAAATGCGCTTCAAATTACTTCCTGCATAATCTGAATAATAATTTCTCTTGAGTTTCTACTAGAGCTGTTACTCAAGAACCTGGGAAACCTCTTAATTTTCACTCACAGGAACAAGTAAATGCACATAAAGCAGCAAAAGTGGTGAAGAAACTTAACAATTCCATATTCTCTGAAAATAAACAGGCAGTGATATTTTCTGCAGATCAGATGACCAAGCACTCATTAAATCGTTGATCTGTATGGATTATTATACCACAAATCTGGGAAGAGTCAGTCCCCAGGGTCTTTTATGGATTCCTTTTTTTTAAAGAAGTAACAGACTGAAATTACTTCCTCAAGTCATACCACACAGCACTTCTAATACTTACTGTTATAGCCTATGTGTGAAATCTTAAGATTTCCTAATTTTGCATGACATGCTGTTGACACATCAGCTCTGTATAGCAAGAGAAGATGACTGAGAAGGTTTTAATTCTTTTTGAGTCCTAATGGAACAGTTTGCAGCAACTGAGCTTTTAACTGATAAATTAAGCAGTTTTTCTTTAATTGTTATTCCGCACCTCTTCAAGCACCCTTTATCCCATGCACACAAATGTGCAAACATTCCTGATCATGAATCCCCATCCTATTTTCCTGAAGTATTTATACATTGCTTATTTAATCTAATAGCATTAGATTATAATAGCATAATAATCTCTAATCCCCAAATCTAGGTACTGTTTGGAAAGCCCCACAAGCAAAAGCAAGAAATGGATCAATCTATGGATCAACTGCTTCCTACATCCTGGCAAAACTTCTGCAACTCATTTGCAATAACAGAAAGATTTCCTAAAATGCTTTTCTGCAGGTATAAAATGTGTGAAAGAGCTAAAAACACTTCCTTGTAAATCTGCAGACAGAAGGAGGGAGCCGTATGAAACAGCAGGCATAATCCCAACTCATCCTACAAACATTATATGAATGTAATAATACAAAGAGTATTAATGCAGATGCAGTTTGGAGAGTTCTGCAGTTGACTGTAGTCTGTAGGGAAGTTACATGATGAATTTTGTATGTTAAAAGTACAGTTTTGCAGCTTTACCTTCATGTACTTCCACTGTACCTAGCACAAATGAATAAGGACAGCACAACTGCACTGCCTGGGTTTGAAAAGAAAAGGGAGAGGAAACAGGGAAAAGAAAAGAAGCTTTATATGCCAAATGCTTAAAAATAAATAATTAAGAAGTGTGTAGTAATAGCAGCCACACACAGAGATTCTGGGAAATCAGAATCCTAAAGCTCCTAAGTAAGACTCTTTTAAGAATCCTTCCTAATCAATATGAAAAAGCAAGAGTCAGTACCTACAGTTCCTTGTTAAAGGTGACTGACAGAAGAAAACAAAGGTTTAACTAACATCCAGTAACCTTGGGGCATTTGTCTCATAGACCTGAACAGCTGAGCAATATGGGCATTTGGCAAAGAACTGAAATTTACCTTCTTTAGAAAGTACAGATTTCAGCGCTTTCCCCATCTGACATCTACTGCCTACAACCCGAGGGTGACACCTCACACCAGGGAATTCTTAAGAGCCAACTTAATGTGGTCAGTTCAAATTCCCCCAAAATTTACCTACTGCGGCACTTTTGAGAGTTCCTTATCCTCACTTGCAACTATTGGAAAAATACTGTAACAAAGAGAGATGCAACAGGAACACGGGGAATGTTGCTTAATTGCATGAAGAGAAACGAAGATTAAAATCCCTCAATTAAATTATATTCTTAAGTCCTGTTTAAATAACTGCATCAATGTAATTGAGAAACAGCCTGCATTTTATATGACCAGGGTTTTCATTCTCAGTATAGGTCTATAATTATTCAAAACCTTCAAAGTTCATAATTTAACTGACAATCAAGTAAACATCTCTGTTCAATCAGCTAAATACCTATAACTTATTGAAATGGACTATTTCCTAAAGCTCCTTGGGAAATACCTTTATTTTATTGTGTTTTGGCTTGTTTTTTTAACTTTTTATTTTTATTTGTTTGCCAATTTTGGACTCCTCTGAGGATTGTATATAGACCTTCACAGGCACAAGGAGGAAAGTGCTCTGGCTAACAGAACAGATAAAATGACACAGCATGAGTTGCACCACTTTGCAGTCTAGTATGTCCTTCTTCTGACCCAGGTGCAATTACACTTCTAAGAAAAAGTTCTGTCTCCTTTGCTGAGTTTAAAATCAGGCTGAGTTCTGAGGTTTGCTAGAGGTTCCACATTAACTGGTCTTCTGGAAGCAGGGGAGAGTTCTTCCACCCACTGCTAAGCTTCTTAAACCTGCATATGGTTAATGCTTCTATTTTTCACCTTCATCTTTTGAGAGAATATTAAATCATAGTTTAACATTTACCCTGATGTAACTTTGTACAGAGCTGGTGCCCCACAGCTTTCAAAAAGGGGTTTCTTTCCTTAAAATCTGCTTCATGTGAGAGAAAATTGGAGCTGATTTTGAGGCAATACTATTTTCCCCTCTGCACTCCAACAGAAGGTTTGTCTTTCTTCCCTGTCTGAAGGCAGCCTGTTGGAAATAGCACACTTAATTGTCCTTCCAAGGTAACAGCTTGTGAATATTTTTTGCCTTCTTTGCAGCATGTAGGATAAATGTGAGAGTCCACCAGATCAGCTTAGGTGGTTCCAATAGTCCTTGCAGAGATATTGAGACAGCCAGGAAATCTCCTGGTGCTTTGCAAGTCATGAATGATTTCAAGTTTCTCCAGAAGGAATGACAGAATCTCTTTTCTTTGCAAATGATGATAAGATACTTAAATTTCCCAATATAAGATTGGACATCTGGAACCAAGGTGGTGTTAGATTATTTTGGCCTATTTTAGACTTACACAAGTCCAACTTCTTCCTGGAAAAAAATGATCTAATATTTATAACTCTGTTTCATAATCTCTTTTAGTTCACACACCTTTAAGGGATATTATCCATTGCCTACTTATGATTCTAGCTCTTGAATATGCAATTTTTTTGGAGGGGTGATGGTAAAAACTGCAATTGAATAGGATTAGGGCACTCTACATACAGAAATTGCACAGTAACAAGATGAAATGTTAGTCCAAATATTACTCCAGCATTAAGAACCCCTCTGCCCCATTCTACCCAGTTGAAAGCTAGAACTATTTTTACTTTTGCCCTATTTCTGGGTGCCTTTGGGTGTTATTGGCACAGAAGGCAAATTGAAATTCCAGCTGTAGCTCTGTAACAGTCTCCTGCTTATTTTTCAGTTGCTAGACTGCATCTCTTCCCCAGACAGCACTGTCAAACCCCTTGAAGGGGATAGTTCCTGAAAATAACCTCCATGCAGAAGAGATTATAATTTCTATTCACATCACCTCTTTATTTATGAGCTCGTTTCTTTCTCCTCTTGCTTTAAGGGTTTAGAGAAAACATAAGATTTTTTTTTTCTTTTTCTTCTATTTCTACATTCTCATTACCAGGGCTCTAGGTCTCAAAATGGTGCTTGAACAAGATTTCTGTTAAACTCAGATTTTTCTTATTTCAGGTGCTATAAAGCACTTCAAAATGTTTTATGCAATCAAAGAAGAAGAAAAGAAAACCAGAAGCTTTCTAAATTGGAGCTTTTACCTGGTACAGGATTACATTTAATACATACTTTACACCATGGAACCTACTCCTTGGGGCCAAACTTGCCTTTTAACTACTGACAAACATGGGCTGCACCACTGCTCCATCCACCCAAGCTCCTTTCTCAGTGTGTGATGTGGGAGGACTGGTTTTGATATGCAGCGAGGTGTGCCAAAGGAATAAGTGAGGAGCTTTCAGAAAAGGTCTAATAACAAGTGACATGTAATGTTTAGACAAAAATGCTGCCTGACATCATTCACTGTCCATTTAAGGGTACTGCAGTGAGTCACTGAGCGCTTGACAACTAACCAAATGCTGAAGCTCAAGCATCTAAAAAGAAACATTAAATACAAAATCCTTTCTAAAAATTTCACTGTTTTACGTATTTTTAGTATCTAAGCATTTTCTTGGTCAGACTTTGTTAAGTAACTTTACCCTCAAAAGATTTCATGCCACAAGGTTTTTCCCCTTTACCTGTTTTATGGCTGTCACAGTTATGACAAAGAACAATGGCAATCCACTGGTAATAGGACTGGTAGGGGTATCTATCATGAGCTAAAAGGGAAGAAAATATGAACATTAGCTCAAATTTTATTTTTACCATTGTAATTTCAAAAAAAAAGTCAATAAAAAACCACCCTAATAAAGTAAGACATGACAACTATTTTCCAAGTATCTCATTATAAATTGTGAGTGTTTTTACTGCATTTCTTGCAATATTTCTGGAGCAAAACTCAGTTAAATAATACATGTCAATAATGATGCAAACAAAAGGTTCTAGGTAACAGAGCAGCCTTAGTCACATTTGTAATGCATGTGACAATTTTAAGAGTCCTTAGTAAAAGGAAGATATACTTCCATTCTACAGAGATGAATTTGGAAGTATATTACAAAGGAAAGAAATCTACATTTCGTGATGCTGTTTCAACATTCTATACAATCTACTGCTTACCAGCAATGTAGAGTATAACATCATCCACTTCAGAAGTGAAAATAAAGTTAAAAACAGTAATTTCCAATGGTTTAGATATTAGAGAACATTTTCTTTTTCAGACTGCACCTTTCCAGTTCCCCCAAGTTAACATGCATTTTTTACAATCTGTGCTATTGTTGCTGGCATGCCAAAAGTGCAGTGTACACACTAAGATTCTGTATGTGGGGGGATGTTAGTGCTTCTCCTCTGCTGCAGGAAAAAACCAACACGGTCAAGTGCTGCAAAGAAAATATACACAGGAACTATTCAAAACCACAGACACTGATTGGATCCACTTTACCTGAGACCTATGGCATTGCTTTGGGAATCATTAAAGAAGAAAAAACAAAATCATACATGAAGTTTACTCTCTTAAGAGCCAAGAGCCTCACAGAGAAAACAGATTATGCCACCTTACAACGCATGCATGAGTTTATTTCTTTTGCCATTGAACAGACAATTTACAGAACACAACAAAAATGAGACATAGCCTGCAATATTGTTCCTCAACTGCAGCACTGCAATTTCAGCTTGGCAGCATGTTGTCCAAGAAGACCCATGCCAAAAGCACCTGATTTAGGTGATATAGATGACATTTCTGCCATCTATACTCTCTCACTCTTTCTCAAGAGAGGCTCATATATGAAAATGAAGCAGGTTTTGTGCTGGTGGAATTGTCATGGCAGCCTGCTCTCTTTGCCTCTTTCACCAGAACACCATGGTCCTTTGCCTGCCACACAGTTGGACACACATCCACACACACCTGGTGTCACCAAAATGCAGTCTGTCACCATGTTTTGGGCATGCACGTGTGTGGTGAACAACGTGGACTGGACTGTGCTGTAAGTTTAAATCCCACACTGAGACTTTGCCCCAGCTCTGCCATCCCCAGTGGAACAAGGTGGTAATGACAGATTCTGCATCTTGGTCACATGAGATTTGTATGACAGGGAATATACCATGGTGATCAACTTTAAAAGGCACCTTTGCCTTATACAAAAAAAAAAAAAATTAGATATTAATGAACTTCCAAATGGGATTTGAATAAAAACCTTCTAATAAATGAACAAAAACTACTGCAGCTTTTCTCCTGTTCTATTTCCAAGAATGCAGGCACATAGACAAGACATTTCCCATACACATGAGGGCATCCACTTGTCACAAAGACAACAGGATTACACTCAGTGTAATCTAATGCCTTTAGATCTCTATTTGTTCATGGATATCACATTTAGATATTACTGAACTCAACAGTTTGAAAGAAATGTGACACAAAATTGAACTAAAGGGGTAAATCTGCTTTTATTTCTTTTTAATGCAATGCTGGCTGTGGTTACTTTAAGTAACATTAATGTACTATCTCCAGCATGTCTCCATGTTCCTGAAGCTACAACATGTTAAACAGCATGAAACATCACAACAGGAATGACACAGTCAATACTCTTAACTAGGAAAATGCGATGGACAACACATTCTGTTAGACAAAGTTAGAACAGTATGACTTTAGTGACTCCCAACACAGGAATTTTCAGCCTAGAAAGGTCATTCTTTCTAAATGTGAAAGAACAAGATCAAGGGACACAGGAGGCAATGGATTCAAAACCACAGAACTGGCCCAGTATTGACATCTTGCACAATCACAGACAAATTTTATGAACTCCTCACTATCCCTGTTTTTTGTCAAATGAGGTGCCATATTTTTCAGATGCATACTATTAAATGTTGGTTAATCACTGTGGAGGACTGCACACGTTCAAAGCATTCTATTTTATAATGATAGAAAAGTTTGTGTACCCCAAAATCTTGTCTCTGCCTCAGACATTAATTTGTCTTTCAAAAGTTACTATTTCTCCTTAGACTCTTTCTCCTTTCACCTGCTAAGCCTACAATAGCTCCACAGAATTCAGGTACAAAATTACAGAGCTGGGGGTGCAAAGATTACCGAAAATGTACACACTGTCATAATATACTCGTGGATGTTCTTCATTAAAAGAAGAACAAAAAAGCTACAAAAGCCACAGCAGTATTTCTGACCTGTACTGTAACAGTAACAGCATTAACTGACATCTTCAAAACCGACAAACTGTCAACCCAAATTGTAACACCTGTGGGTTCATTTTATCTGAACAAATTGAATGTCAGGATCTTAGAACTGTGTCACAATAGTCTGTTGACTTACAAAAGCGAGATTCCACCTACACTGGGAATATACACTAATCTCTGCTCAGCTCAAGAGCAAGCACACTGCCCACTTTGGTGCCAGTGAACCTGAATGTCTGTGTTTCTGCACACAAATGTCCAAGAAGCACTTAAAAACACACAGTAAAACTCCTGGTTTATTCAAACACCACCAATGCCCACAAAAATAAGAAGTCTATTTGGAATTTCATTACCACCTTACGAGATTTAAAATTGTATTTTGAGGCAATTGAGTCCCTCTGCTGTCAGTGCAATGGGCTTTAAAGCTGCACACTTAAACACATTGGCATTCATAAAGGTAAAACCTAAGAATAACACTTAAATTTGGACATAATTGTTTTTAAAGTGATGTTCTTTTCCCAGAGAAACTGGAAATGTGTTCTTTTTATAGGCAGAATATGTAAGTAGAGAAGTTAAATTCACAGAACAAAAATCAGTGGCAGATTTACAACATAAACTGCAATTTCCTGAGTATTATTCAACTTACCTGAACCAAAAATATAATGAGAAAATAAAAGTTGGCTACTCTTCGGAACTGCTCAAATAAGTTTTTTGGAACAAAATTCCACACTGTATACTGAAGGGAAAAAAAAGGGAGAGAAGAGTAATTACGACACACTGAACAATTTTTCAATGAAATTCAGTTCCAATCCCATTAAAGTCTGTTAAGCTAAATCTTTTCATTCTCCATCTCCCCTCCCCCAAACCTTCTCCTGGTCTTGGTCTTCTCCCACACAGAGCTGCTGTATCCAATTTTTGTTGGTTTTTTCTCCTTCTGTTTCAAGTACAGCTAGCAGGGAAGCAGAGGTAGCAACTGCATTGCCAGTACAGGCCATGTTTTAAATGTTCTCCTACCCACTGGGATAGGGGCAGCTGGAGTCATTTGGCTGTTTGCATCCTGGGTAGCAGGGAAGAAATTTAATTCTTGCAGCTGTAACATTCTCTCCAACACCACAGCGACAAGGCACATCCCACCACCAGCTCCACTGATTTCAATCCAAGAACACACTAGGAGGGAATCTGCAACTGCAGTCCACTGCTGATTTATTTTATGCAGAGTATTAGCTTTCAATTTGGCTACTTTAAAAACCCTCACAACCAGCTTCACCCTTCTTTTTAAGTAGTTTGGTGCATCACATTCAGACATGACCAGCACTGGTTTAAAACCTACTGTCCTTCAGAAATCCTGACCAACAGGCTTAATTGCTCTGTACTTTAATAGGCTTTGAGGAAAGAAGGATGAGAGGAGAAAAACTACATAGGAAGCAACCTTGCTTTTCCCTCAAAAAAGTTTGTTTCATTTTGAATATTGTATATGCACCACTAGACATCATACACACCTGCACATTTACCAAACAACTTCTAAAGTAACATATCAAGTGGTTTTCCCACAAGAAATGGATTCCTTACCTTGGATGATATGATTCTGTTGTCTGCAAACTTCTGAGGAACATAATGGCCATGCTGGGGAAAACGATTTGCTATATAAATAGTTCTTGTATCGCTTTGATGAGGTGGGTCAAAACCCTAAAAATAATATAAAAATAAAATAAAAAAGAGGTGATTGAGAAAGACTGTTAATAGCTGCTGTTTTCTAAAACTGTTAACTTTGTGCTGAAAAATGATATACAGATATCAAGTAGCAGTTTTGGAATAGTGGCTCTTGAATAGTAAAGAAAATTAATGTACAAAATTGAAGTCTGTTTTGTCCATAGAATTTTCAAAAATTGGGAAAAAACCCTCCCTCAATTCTGAGGTTGTGTACTCATTCTGAAAAATAAAATTAAAAAAATCCTTTCTCAAGAAGGACAGAGATGCAAACTTGAAACCTTGTGAAACTTAAAAAAGAAGAAATAGAAATGAAGATGAAAATATAATTAAATTACAAAACCTCCCAGCTGTGCTCATAAAACCAATTATTGAAAAAAATAAAAGGTCAAAACAAACAAGTTATACTAGTATGCTGTGACAACTGGATTTTGAAAAGATTCTCACCAGCTAAAAATCAAAAGCATATGCATCTGACTAGACAATACTGTTTTTCCAAACAGGTTTTATCTCCAAGAAGTAACAATTTGTCAAATCTCAAATGTGATTTCCTGTCACGACCACCAATTCATCCAACAACTCTGAGTCATCCATGTCATCCCACTGAGGAAAAGGCCTTCAGTGCTGAGGAGGCTGGAGAAGTGGGAGCCACAGCTGAAGCACTGAGAACCCACTGGACAACACCCAGAGGACTGGAACATGAGCCACAAGGGATCCTAAAAACATGACTTATAACGCAAGGCTGAACAATCTAAAAGGCAAAGAGCAAACAAATTAGAGTCATTTAGCCTAGAGGAGAGGAAACTTGGGATATCCTAGCAAATCTTCTGATATAGAAAAGACTGTTCCATTGAGAAAACAGGTAATTTAAAGGACAAAGAAGAACAGAAGCAAGTAGGCTTAAGCTGCAGGTAGGAAAACTTAGTCTGGATATTGGCAACCAAACCAAAATTCCTTTCTTATGGAAAGGAAGAATTAAAAACCAAAATAAGTCATGTGGGAAGGTTGTAATGTCTCTGTAACACAAGGGCTTGTATCTAGGTCATTCAAGTCTATCTTTAATAGAGCCTTTCCTGGGGCTACATGACTCACCAGAACTCTTCCTAGCAATAATTTTTTGACCTGGACAAGCAGGTGATGCCAAAAGACAACAAACAACACAATAAAACAGTAATAATTCAGAGAACAGGCCAAGAAAACTACTAAAATAAAAAGAGAAAAGCTCTAAGACATGAAATAAACCAGTGAAATTAAATCTGGAACTGTTAATTGTTCAATCAGGAATCAATGACTGTGAGGTGCTGAATTTCAGTGCCAACACCACACACATTCCTAATCTTAGAATTGACTTTGCACTGTGTCCACAATCTCCTTGTTCTTTGATGCCATGTGCAAGGACAACTGGTGGAACAGCTAGGAAGGGCATTCCCAATTCCATTACTGCAGGTGAGGAAACGACATTTGCAGTTGTGTTGCTTCACATGTGAAACCAGGCTCAGACCCTGAATGATGTCAAATAAAAACTGACACTTCACAGAACTCCAGAAGAAGATACTTCTGTACCAGTAACTACAGAAGATAAACAGTGAGCACAATGAGTGACACAAAAAGTGGTTGGTATAACCCATCAAGAATTTTCTTAAATCCATGAATATCTCTAACACAGGGCATGAGGTCTGTTCACATCCAGGATGGTGTCATTTTAAAGTAAGGTAATAATAAAAAGAATCCTCTCAAACATACAAATTTTTGTGTTTGACATCATTACCAGAGAAACCTTCTACATCAGAAAGAAAGAGGTCCAGAAAAAAGAAGGGAGAAAGAAAGGAAGGGGAATTTTTCAAAGAGATTTGAAGGAGAACAAACTTTAGATGACAAGCAGTGGAAGGCTGGTCTAGTCACAGGCTCCAGGGTGAAAACTTGTTTAAAGATAAGAGTGGAGCAGTGAGACAAAAAGTAGATAGGGGAAAGGACAGGAGAAAATACATAGGATGCCAAAAGCAAAAAGAAAGGAACTGTTCACAGCTTTAAGAAATACAAGCATGAAAGTAAGATGAAAAAAAAAGTACCTGTTAAATGATGACACAAAATTTAAAAAGAGAACAGTGTTTGCAGCAGAAGCATTTTGGATACCTGACATTAGTGACACATTATTTCTAAATCAATCCAGAAGATGCCACAAATAAAAGGGTTTTGCAAGCAAGAAAAAATGTGCCTAATTAGTAAGACTAGGTGCACAGCTCTCTTCTATCTCAGAAAATGTCTGGCACTCACAAAATACCAGACATTCTCACTTTGGAAAGTCATACTCTACAGCCTGAAAAAATTCAAACAGATGTAAAGCAAGGGAAATAAAACCAGAAAAAGCAAAGAAAACAAGTGGCAGTCTTCTTTCTGGCAGTGAAAAATGCTAATCTCCATGCCACTTGCTGAAAGTTATTAAAAGATAAACGAAAGGTTTCAGAGTGACTACAGTATCACTGAATTTTTTATATGCCCTTTTTAGGCAACTATCTGAGCACCTGAAAGTTGATGAGTTTGATGACATTTTTATTATGAAGAGTAAAGACCTCTGTACAATTCCAGCCTCACTGCACAAGCACTTCTATCAGAGAAGAATACATCTGCTGAAGCAGACTCAACTGATTAAAAGGAATCTATTTTCCAAATCGGAATCTCTGGCCATACAATTTTACAGGTGCAGTTGTGCAGTTAAAACAGTTTAAAACTGCAGTCTTTACACATTTAATTCCATTTTGTTGACATTTGCCACAGAGAAAGCTCAGAAGCTGAGCAGTCAGCAGATCACAAAGCACACCCAAGGCAGGCTGGGGACAAAAACCCTTCAGTTGTCAGAGCTGTGGTTGGAAAAGGACATCCCTGACAACCTTAGTGACTTGACTGTAGTCACAGCAGGAAATAAGTGTCAGAGCTGGGAACAAAACCCAGATTTCTTAAATTTTATGACTGTAACTTCTAAAGATCATTTGAAATTACCCAGCATCCCTGTCATCTCATAATTAGCCAGACCACAACCAAGTAGATCTGCCAGAGAAATTTTCATTACACATCTCTCCAAGGAAAATTCTGCACAGACAATGAACTTAATTTTCAAGAACTGAAATGTCTTTAACACTTCCCAAACTATGGGATTGGTCATTGAGCCTGCTCCTGACACAAACTGATCTGTAGTCCAAATTTTTGCCCGGCAAAGGGATTTTGCACGGTAACTGTCCACAGCCAGCAAAGCAGGCTGAAGCACACTGTCTCCTAATTTCACTTATTAGACAGTTCTCTCTTTCTAACGTCATTCTCTAACTCAGCTGCAGAAGTAGGGTAACATGCCCTTGTCAAAGGATTTCTGCAGCTGAACAGCATGAGCAGAGAATCCCCAAATTAAAGTTTGAGTCTTGCAAAACGATTGTCACCAATATCTTTCAACAAAAGTTAGTTTTCCTGCAGTTCTCTCGTGAAGTGATTTCTACCCAAGTGCACAGATAATTGATGACATCACAAATGATGCTGAGTGTATTACAGAATCTGATATTTAAAGCTTCTTGATAAGGTATATTACAGGCATATATATTACATGAGTCAGCTTTAAATAAAATTTGACCATAAGATAAAGTGACCTGATTTTCCCCCCTTCATGCTGCAAGTTAAATCTACATTTATTAGCTAAAGTTCAGCCCCTCAGCTGATTTATCAACACAAACCAGGAGTTATCTACCCTTGGAATACATCCCTCACTTAATTTCAATCTGCACATTCCCAATAGAAGTTTTGCACCCAGATAAACTCAACATGTTTGTTTTTGAATATAGTTTAAACACATACCACTTAAATACAATACAAAGTGCCTGAGTGAAGCTGATTTACAAAGCACAAATGAAAGTAACTTTTGAGGAAAAAAAAAGAAAAAGAAGAAATAAGTGATTCAGAGTTTTCCTTTTTTATAAATTTGCAATGACTCTAACCAAAGACGAAGTAGTTTTTACTAAATTCCTTCAGCAGTGATTTCGTTACTGTTCTAAAAGTTAGACAAAGACATCCTCTGTGCAATAATTAGGTCCCTTTAAAACAGCACAGAAAACATACCCCGAGGAACTGAGGAGAAATATTTGACTGCAATTTTATGCAATTTATTTCATGAAAGAAATGGGATTCAACAGCCACCCCAAAATAACCCCTTCCTACATTCTGTCTCCATTTCAACCACTTGCCCAGAATTGCCCATGTAGCCATCGGATAAGGTGGACTGGAAAACTGATCCAACCAAACCCCCACCATTTTTCCCACTTGTTTTTTTTTATTTTATTTTATTTTTTTTTAATGTGTCAGTTCCCTAAAACAATTGCATGGTCATGCCAATTGCCTGGTGACAAAAGCACTTACTATGAAAGAAGAGTTTTATATTGCTGCTGAGGAAGCATTATTAACACACACAATGAATTACGTAACCACAGAGTAAGCAAATGAGAAGCAGCACTACAAAAAGAGACCCTCCCAACACCTGCAAGTGTAAAGGAAGAAAAGAAAAACAGCTTTTTTGGTCAACTTGTTGATATAATATACACATATACTGCATATATATATACATATATACACATATAATGCTTCAATACCACTATTAACGTAGGGCAGTGTGCACGTACACCCTCCCCACGCCCTCCCCAGCACTGTGAAGTGAGACAGCAGAAATTCATGGATCTTTCAGCAAGGATTAGTGACATGAGACCAGCACACAACAAACCAATCGCTGTGTCAAGCTTTGCAATACAAACATCGATAATTACAAATCATCTGACAGGCAGTTTTTGCCTGTCACTTGAATAAAGCTGGCATGGTTTAACATCATCTCCCAGGGTTTCTCATTCATTCCTCACAGCTTTTACAGGGGTAAAAAAAGCAAACTTATATTTGCCAAAAGAACTTCTGCTATGTGACCACTTTTCAGTGAAAGGGGTTTGAAAGAAGAA